AATATTAAACTGTATTTATCATATAGTATAAAATAATAGATAGTACTATTGCTTTTTGTGATAATTCAAGGATAAAGATAGTTGAAAATATAAAGTATTTCCCTGTATTATATGTTTTTTTGTTCTAAATCATGTTCCGATGATTTTGATTTATAACTATTTTTGTTATTGCTAAGGTTAACCACACTAGCTAATAATATTTTATGTAAAACGTAACTGACCTCTCCTACACAGAGAAGCTAATGATCTTCAGTAATAATTCTCAAGATCCCTAGAACATCATCCACATCGTCTTCTGTTACATGTTAACCTATTAACTTTTAAATATAAACAGTTTTGTATTGTCAAAATTCGTTTATGCTTGGTGTTTTCTTCCCAGTTATAGACTGAGATTGCCGGTGACTTTATTAGTCTGCAAATTGCACATTATCGTCACCCTTCCCAACACAGCCTCTTAGATTCTTTTCTTCCCCCAATTCTTCCGATTTTTTGTAGGTTCTCTTCTTTTTTAGGCATTTTTTAATTTCCACAAATAAATTTCTGTTTAATTTCTAGATATTTTTTTTTCTTAAACGACACCACGAATAAGCTTTGATCACTAGTGTCTAGTAGCAACTCTGTAATATCTAGGGTTTACCGTTTACTGGACTCCGCGCGACTAAGTTCTTTATTCTTAATCGTTTTTGTTTCTAATTTATTTTTGGTATTTCATCGATTTCTGTCTCTCATGTGTACTTTTGTCTTTTGTCTTTATCTCTTTGAATTTGAATAAGTAAAGTAATTTAATCAAATTCAAATATCTTTAAATCCCAACTTTTCAGACATAAAATTATTACCTATATACTTTGAAAGCTACCGATTTATGTTCAGCTGTTTGGTGTATACTATTTTCCATGGAATTATTTTTTCCAGAAATAAAGTAGACATTCCGGTATATATATACGGTTGGTTATGGTTCAATTTTCTGGTTTTTTAGATTATTAATTTGTTTCCATTAATGTTAAAAGTTGTAAGAAATTTCAAGATTTTTGTTGTTAGATTATCAACTTATTTTTCTCTTAACACTTTGTTTTTTATTTTTACTGATATTCGTTTTGAAAAATTACTATATATAAGAGATTTGACAGATAAAATTTAAAGATTAACCAACAATATTTCTCAACAATTTAATGAATAGAGATTTATTTGATATACATTGGTCATCCTAAAACAATTTTGTTTTAAGTTTTGAAAAAGTTATTGAAACGGTCAAATGAAAGACACGATTTTTTATATTTTTAACGATAATAATTTTCACAATATAGATAAATCTCTTTTTTGATTGTCTACTTTAAATTTAATTCCGAAAAATGTAGTTTCTGTGAAATCCATTATAAGTACTGCTAAACAAATTGACACTTCCCGATCAGATCAGCAAAGCAAAGTTGAAGAGTAGACGATCCAACTAAGTAACACCAAATTTTTAGAAAGAAAAGTGATAGATCGAATTGGAGAGAAACCAAACATGTTTTCATTAAAATAAACAAAGAAAAACCAATAATCTATAAATAGAAAAGCCATCAGAAATCAGATTTAAAAATTAGATAAAGAAAGAAAGAAAAGAAGTTCAAAAATATTTATAATAAGCTAAACCGAAGATCAAAAGACTCTGGCGCCCCCAATCACATTTCTTTCTGCTTAAATCCAATCAGATTTACAAATCCTCAAAATCAAGTTCTTTAAAAAAACTAAAACTAATGGTTTGATTAAAAAAAAGGAACGAAAAGTAAACAGAAACCCAATTCCGATGGTGAAAGAGTTATTGGACTCGGAGACTAGAGACGCAAGGGGCTCTATTCGCTCAGTCATATATTATCAACGTATCTAAGTGGTATTTTTTGTGGGAGTCGTAACATTCTTTTATTCGCTCAGTCATATATTCAACAATTCTTTTTCTTTTATATTCTTAAAACCTTGATATAGGAAAAATTAAAAGGAACCCAATTTGGCGGTCAAATGTCATATAAAACTATGGAAGGTAACAGATTGTTTCTGAACTTTCTTCATTTATATCTTACTTAGAAAACTCTTTTAGAATGTACGGTTAATATGTAAGATCACTGTCATTTCGTCATCTGATTATTCTTTGGGTTTAGACTCTACGTGTGGCAGACTGAAACTCTGAGTGGTTCAGTCTGGAAGAAAGCCATAAAAGGAAGCTTTCCTTTTAAAATTAAATTTTCTCACTCTCATAGTCTCATACGTGAAATATATTCACAGATAGATTTCTAACTTTATTTAAATATAAATGATAAAAGTGAGAGACGGATATGGCGAAATCTAAAAAGTGGAATAAGAACTTTCCATGTAGCAGACCTACACTACACCTGCTGGATTTTAGTATATATGTAGTATTAATTATTTTAATGTGTATTTAATTGATTTGATAATTTATTTTTATTTTAGTATCATGTGACATGTGCTATTATTAAAGATTTTCATTCTAACATGTATACTCGTACTTTATAGCTGATCATCTTTTTCTTTTAGTTTTCAATAACATTTGAATCGATTTTAAAGATAAATAAATTAAAAGATCAATTTATTTTTCAGTTACTAACTAACTAGAGTCAAATAAGCCGCACGACGAAGATCAATTTTGGTTATAATGTTAATCTGTGACAACATAAAGCAGATACACATGTAGTTTAAGAGTTATATCAAAATATTTAGGTTACGCGGTATACCTATTTTGTCATTACAGATGCCTAACTGAGTTTAATCTGATGACAATCTCAAAGAGTGCTAATATATAATTGGTACTAGTGAATACTAAAAATATATCTGTGCCATATCAAAATGTCACATGTGAAATCAAGTTTGGTGCACATGTACATATTCATATATACATTTGAAATACGTATATATTGTAGATATTTTAATAGGAGATTTATGTTAATGGATGACACAAAGGCATGCGATTAAACAAAAGAGCTGGCTCCTAGCACAATACAATCTCCTAGTGTGCAAAGGACATAAGCAATAATAACTTTTAAACTTAACTATGATGTTTATGTTTAATTTGTTGAATATAGTTTATTAATAAGGACTCCTTTTGACGGGTGCGAAGACCGATTAAGCGGTCAACAGATTTTTACTCGGGGGGACAAAAAGAAATTTCCCCCACCAATTTTACGATTTTTTTTTTCTAATTGTGTACATTCTTTTCTTTTTTCCCATGACAAATATAAAACTATATATTAGATGAAGATATTTTTATCTTCGGCATCCCTTATGCAAGTTTTTCTTTTAACCAAATGTCACTTTATTGTACCGAATGTGATTTTAATATTCATAAGTTGGCTTTTATAATAATTCATGAACGTACATGCAGAAGAGAGAATTCGGGGATCTACAATAATTTCTCGCTTCATTACAATAACCTATTTGCTTTATTTTGTAAATTATCTTTGATTTATACGTAATGTATAATGCGTGTATATGTAGGTACATACGTAGACGTAGGCTTCCAACATGCATAAATGGATCGACCTGTACCCAAGGACATGCCTAAGTGGAGGTAGAGAGAGAGAGAGAGAGAGAGAGAGAGAGAGAGAGAGAGAGAGAGAGAGAGAGAGAGAGAGAGAGAGAGAGAGAGTTTACGTAGAATGGTCAAATGGTAATTAAGGCTAAGAGGTGATTTGCAGAGTGTGGGAATGCAGGGCTTTGAGGAGTCATGGATCGCATTAAACGAGGACGTGAGTTCCCATAATCCTAGTGGGGCTTAGAGAGAGAAGCTCTAGCTACAGAGAGAGAGTGTGTGTGTTAAATCTGCATTTAGAAAACTTTCTATTAATTATTTAATTGTGAGTTAAAATTAGGTTGCCTCTTAGGGTTGGATTTTTCCGGTTGGAATCTTAGGTTTTGTCTTAATACATGAGTGTAATAAATTGAGACTGCTCATACATTTTTTTTTTAAATACATTTTAAAAGAGATATTATGATAAAAAAATTATTCATAAATTCTTTTTTTTTGTATGGCAGACTCGAAGATCCCTAAAAAGTTCGGACTTAACTATAATCTCCTTAATTAGCTTCGGAACTTGCTGGTAAATATGTCCTTTTAAGAAAAAATATACAATAGGTCACCTTCTAAGGGGGATACAATATTGTTACCACTAGCACAAGACTCATGAGTTGGTTATTTTTAGCACATTTGTTTTGTCGAAATCAAATTTGCATAGACAAAAAATACATGTATGAATATTTAAAAATATTTATATACATATATAAAATGACATGTCTGCATTTATATAATACTTTATTTATATACAAACCCGTTATGGCTAGACCTCGTTACTACGTTATATATATATATATATATAATTCATTGCTGATTATTCGTTTCAGTATAAATTGTGTCGTTTTACAAAATTTCTATTGTTTGAGTTCAAAAGTTAATGTCATTCTTTTTTTCCGACTATTTTAATGTCATTCTTGGGTCAAAAATACATATTATAATCCTAGTTAAGATTAAATACTCGTAACATAGTTTCGAGAATTACATGTTTATATAGAGACATGTATTATGTTTACTAACTCGTGTGAAAAAATGTTTTAGTCTCTAAACAATCTTTAAAATAAAAAGAATAATTTATATAACTTTGTCCTAATAATTTGTCGTCTATTGGTATCAACAAGTTTCCTAATTCAGATTCAAATACGAGAGTGCGTGAATTGTAGGCCGAAATTTTTTTGTCGTCCTAAACAATTTTAAACCTTTATTGATGATCGTTAACTAAAATTTGAATCTGATACTGCTCTTGAATTCTTAATTGAACTCCTTCTCGTATAGTAAACAATAATCATATAGTTCAAAAACAATAATCATATAAACTGGATATAGTTATTTATATCAACGTACTTCTTGAAAAATAGTATTCTAATGAGCTAAAATTTATATAATTAAAGGGGCCTCTTCTCTAGTCTTCCTCTATATTCATCTCTCACAAATATCTTCTCTTTTGTTAAAACCCTAAAATTATCAGAGTTTCCAGCTTTTAGAGAGAGAAAGAGCTTTTGGCAATATATAAAACAGAAGAAGATCTCTACCTATATATATACATATTCTCCAATCTTTGAAAAACAGTCTTGATTATTAATTTCTCTTTTCCCAATCCTTGATTGTTGAATCTTACTTTCTTCTTTGATTGGCTTAGAGCTTGGTATATTGATCATACCAAAGTGGGTAGGAGCACAAAGTGATTGATTAACCCAAACACAAAACAAACAGATTTGACTCAAAAAGAGGGAAAATGAATTCTAACAACTGGCTTGGCTTTCCTCTTTCACCAAACCACTCGTCTTTGCCTCCTCATGAATACAACCTTGGCTTGGTCAGCGACCATATGGACAACCCCTTTCAAACACAAGGTAATATCTATGTATTACACATGTGCTTCTCTTTTTGTGTATATTCGTATACTAAAATACCAAATTGTATGTTTGCAGAGTGGAATATGATCAATCCACACTCTGGAGGAGGAGAGGTTCCAAAAGTGGCTGATTTTCTCGGTGTGAGCAAACCGGACGAAAACCAATCCGACCACCTCGTAGCTTACAACGACTCGAATTACTACTTCCATACCAATAGCTTGATGCCTACCGTCCAATCAAACGACGTCGTCGTAGCTTGTGACTCCAATACTCCTAACAATAGCTATGAGCTTCAGGAGAGTGCTCACAATCTACAGTCACTCACTTTGTCCATGGGGACCACCGGTGGTAATAACGCTGCAGCCAAAGCTTCGCCGTCCGACACCACCGGCGATAACACTAGCGGTGGAGCACTACCGGTTACTGAGACGGCCACGCCGAGGCGGGCTCTGGACACTTTCGGACAACGAACCTCGATCTATCGTGGTGTCACAAGGTTAAATATGTGACTCATCTTTATCAAATAAAAATATATGTGACGCATCACTCAATACTTAATTGTTTCTCTAAAGATTTTATGATTTTAAATTGGATTTTTAGTGATAAAATGTATATGTATGGTTTTGGTTCAATTATATTTAGGCATCGATGGACCGGTCGATATGAAGCTCACCTGTGGGATAATAGTTGTAGAAGGGAAGGCCAGTCTAGGAAAGGAAGACAAGGTAAGTAAATTACTTCTACTTAATTAGGTTGTGTGTTTTACTTTGACTTGGCTTATATATACTAATTTTCTTCATTCTTTGTTCTTGCTGCGTAAAATCTTGGTGATTCCATAAACAATCTCTAGTTTACTTGGGTGAGTACATCGAGCTGGATTCTTCTTTATCATGTTCGTGGATTAATTACATTTTTTTTGTTACGGAAAATTAAATCAGATTTGTTGGCATAGGTGGGTATGACAAAGAAGACAAAGCAGCAAGATCATATGATCTAGCTGCACTTAAGTACTGGGGTCCTTCAACTACTACTAATTTCCCTGTAAGTTAATTCACATTTTCTTGAAATGTTCTCTTGATTATTTATTATGTATGTTTCTAATATTCGATTCATTAATATATATCAGATTACTAACTACGAGAAAGAAGTAGAGGAAATGAAGCACATGACGAGACAAGAGTTCGTGGCTGCTATTAGAAGGTGTTGTGTTTGTGGTTTTCAATGGGTATAAATCGTAACGTCTCTAATATAATATGTATGCGTTAATCACAGGAAAAGTAGCGGATTCTCACGTGGCGCTTCTATGTATCGAGGAGTAACAAGGTTTATATATTTAGATATTCACACAAGATTAGTCTTAATTATAGTAATTAACATATGCTAAACATGTTCACATTGTCATATGTATATATATAGGCATCACCAACATGGAAGATGGCAAGCAAGGATCGGCCGAGTCGCCGGAAACAAAGATCTCTACTTAGGAACCTTTAGTAAGCACTTTGTTATTAGATCTTGACTGCGTTTGGTACGAAAATCATATAATATGAGTTGTCTCAAACTATCTAGAACCTACAATTATAAATCAGAGTGAATTAATTAAAGAATCCCCAATACACATACATATACAAGTTTAAAACCATAATCTTACGTTAACGATTTGGCTTGTTCTATCTAGGCACCGAGGAAGAAGCAGCAGAAGCTTACGATATAGCCGCGATAAAGTTCAGAGGACTCAACGCAGTGACCAACTTCGAGATCAACCGGTACGACGTGAAGGCCATCCTAGAGAGCAGTACTCTTCCCATAGGAGGAGGCGCGGCTAAGCGGCTCAAAGAAGCTCAGGCTCTTGAATCTTCAAGGAAACGCGAGGCAGAGATGATAGCCCTTGGTTCAAGTTTCCAGTACGGTGGTGGCTCGAGCTCAGGCTCTGGCTCGGGATCATCAAGGCTTCAGCTTCAACCTTACCCTCTAAGCATTCAACAACCATTAGAGCCTTTTCTATCTCTTCAGAACAATGACATCTCTCATTACAACAACAACAACAACGCTCATGATTCCTCCTCTTTCAATCACCATAGCTATATGCAGACGCAGCTTCATCTTCATCAACAAACCAACAATTACTTGCAGCAACAATCGAGTCAGAACTCGCAGCAGCTCTACAACGCTTATCTCCAGAGCAATCCGGCTCTGCTTCATGGCCTTGTCTCCACATCTATCGTTGACAACAGCAACAATGGAGGCAGCTCTAGTGGGAACTACAACACTGCAGCGTTTCTTGGGAACCACGGCATTGGTATTGGGTCGAGCTCGACCGTTGGATCCACCGAGGAGTTCCCAACCGTTAAAACAGATTACGATATGCCCTCGAGTGATGGCACCGGAGGGTATGGTGGCTGGACCGGTGAGTCTGTTCAGGGGTCGAATCCTGGTGGTGTTTTCACAATGTGGAATGAATGAAGGGGCCTGTTTCTTGCGGCACAAAGAAAGAGGTCAAAATAGTAACTATTAAAAAATTTAATCATTATTCTGATTTTTTTTGTTTCTTTTCTTGGAAGTAATAGAATCAAATTAGAAGGAACTTTTAGTAGAAGAATTAGGTAACGCAACGGTTCTTTTTAAGGCGGAGGTGACGATTCTCGGTGGTTAAATGGTTCTTGAGGGTTAGTGTTTTATGGGTACTCAATTAAGTTCAAGAGTACCCAAATTTTGTCTAAAGCTAACCCTTTTGACTAATTTCCAAACTTGTAATTCGTTTTTTTGTTGACAGCACTTGTAATTCGTTTATATTTATGTTTTACTGGTTCTTATTATATTATCCACACTAAAGCGAGTCGACAAAAAGTCAATAATTAGTAAAATAGTTTTTTTTTTGTGCGAAAAATAGTTTGTTAAATTTTAAAATTTTATAGAAAGCATTAGCCAATTCAACAATTAATATCATATAATATATAATTTTTATGTCATTTTCGAACTACTTGTATAGAATCAAAAACAAAAACCTTTTTCTTGATACTTTATTACCACTGTAGAAAGCTTACTATTTAGAGGGAGGCCTCAATAAGTAAAGAAGAGAAATTTATAAATGCAAACAAAAAATGGCAAAGCCGGCCCAATGTATATACTTTATACGAACTACAATACAAAACATCTTTAAAGTTAGTGGGAACCCTCTAATTAAGAAAGCAACTCCAATGGATTATACACATATATAAACATAGTTAAGCTAAATAAAGATCTTAACATTAACATTGAGTACATAGAACACAACCACTAAAAATGGTGTCGCAAGGACTTTCCTTCACCCTAGTTTTTCTCGTGGCAAACCTAATCTCACTTGGTGAAGCCAATATCAACCGTAAGCTCCTGCACAGTCCTACTAACTACCAACCGCTACATTCTCCTCTTCCATCTCCGGTCTATTCTCCCCCGGCTGATTTTCCCCCTCCTCCATCTCCGGTACATTCTCCTCCGACCGATATTCCTCCTCCTTCTACTCCGGTATATTCTCCTTCGGTTAATCTTTCTCCTACTCCAATCTATCCTCCTCCGATTGGTCTTCCTCCTCCTCAAGCTTATAAAGCCTTCTATTATAGGAAATCTCCACCACCACCACCTTCCAGCAAACCATGGTGGTGGTTGTTGTGAAGCTTTAAGACATGTTTTACTCTATAGACGTAGTTATGCAGTGTCTTATTACATTAAGAATGCATAACTGATGTATCGTATTTGATGTCTTCAGTCACATTTTTATTGGTTTTGTAGTGTGGGTTAAGTTTGGTCCAGGACTTAACAGTTTATATTTAACATTTTTTTGTTGTATTGTATTGATTCATTTATATATGGGATGATTTGAAATCTTCTTGACTAAACATTATTCGCATATCTTCGTTGATCGACTAAGAAGTTGTTTGTTACTCAAGTTCTGTAAGAGAATAAAAATAAAAAAATTCTTTTGCAAGTAGAAAACCAAACTTAAATAAATAAAATTCAAAACCGGACCAATCATGGTTTGGTTCGGTTTTTTTAATCATGGGCATTTTGTTATAGAGTAATTTTGTGGAATTAGATGAAAACATGCAAGATAGCTTATTGCTGGAACATAGTTTCCTAGTAGTATCATTTGCTGTTCTTAGGCTTCCATGTTGTGTCAGATCCGTTTAATGCCTACTAGGCTATTTCACATTTGTGACTGTCGATATGATATTTTATTATTTGGTTGTTCTAACTTCTAACCAAAAGAGTTAAGATATGGTCCAACCAAAAACATTAAGAGGAGATCTTGAGACTGTATTGATTTTCTTTGGTTAGGTAAAACAATTATGTAACAAAAGTCATGAAATTCACATTTGGGTCAACCAAGTAACACTCTGGAATATGTTTTTTTTGTATACACACTTAACGACCCAAAGGATGATAATAAAAACAAAATGTAAACTCAGAGAATGTTTTTTTTGTCTAAAAGTGTAAAAGTGTGAAAGAGACATATCAACAATAATAATAAAAAGCAGTATATGTGATAATAACAACAAACATGTCAACAACAACAGTCTGAAATCTCAAGCAAATTTGCTTTGGTCGTCTTACCTGTCAATTGAAATGTTCTTCCTCTCTCTTTTTCTTTAATTTCTTTTTTTCATTTAAATAATTTTCCCTCACTTTCTCTGACCTTTCTTTGCTTCATCTTCAAATCTTCCCTCTCCATCTTGTTCAAAAAGGGGAATAAAAAAAAACAAAGTAATTACTAAACTTTCTTCTTCACGATATTTCAAAATCAAAATTTGGTTAAAGGGTCCCAGTCTTTTCTCTCTTCTTGTCTGATTCTTTAATTCTTGATTCTCGTAGAATTTAATGCTCATGGTTTTTATATGAATCCTCTGAAGCTTACAGGCTCCATTGAACAGTGAAATCTTGTGATAGTTGGATCCTTTTAAAACCGAAAGAGGAAGATCCCAGATGGCAAACAAGATAAGTGAAACAGCTTCGAAGATGGATGATTATGAAGTGGTGGAACAGATCGGAAGAGGCGCTTTTGGGTCTGCTTTTCTTGTAATTCACAAGTCCGAGAGACGAAGGTGAGTTAAAGAATGAAAAAAATATCTCATTTTTGAGTTTTGTAGTTTGTATATAGTTGTTTCTTATGATCTGGTTCTATGGATTCTTCTTTGTAGGTATGTGGTGAAGAAGATCCGTTTGGCTAAACAAACAGAGAGATGCAAGCTTGCTGCGATCCAAGAGGTTAATTACATTATCAAGCTTTTTTAATTTCTGAATCTTGATTATATCCAAGGATGATTTCTTGAAAAATCAAAATGTTATTATTTATCTCTCTGTCTCTCTGATGAAAATCCAGATGAGTTTGATATCGAAGCTTAAGAGTCCTTATATTGTGGAGTACAAAGATTCATGGGTTGAAAAGGTGATATAGTCTTGTTCAAAGCTCATAATCAAGAACAAATTTCGCAGAGAATTCTAACTTCTTGGGAATTTTTATTTCTTGGTTTTGCAGGATTGTGTATGCATTGTTACTAGTTATTGTGAGGGTGGAGACATGTAAGTCAATCACTTCATATTCAAGTTTTATGGTTCTTGATAATACTCTAGTGGTTTGTTTTAACTGATTTTGGTAAATGCAGGACTCAAATGATAAAGAAAGCTAGAGGAACATTCGCCTCCGAAGAAGTGAGCAATCATTTAAGGAAAACTCTTTGGTAAAGACAAGTAATGAACCTGAGATTAAATCTGACTTAGGATTGTCTCTTCTTCTCTGTAGAAACTCTGTAGATGGATGGTTCAGCTACTGTTGGCTATAGATTACCTCCATAACAATCGAGTTCTTCACCGTGACCTTAAGGTAAATTCAACTCCTATTTGCTCTCAATGCTTCTTTTGCTTCAGTGGAACAGAGCATCCATTAATACTGCAAATCATATTTTCCAGTGCTCCAACATATTCCTCACCAAAGAAAACGAGATTCGATTAGGTAAAGATATCACATGCAAAAATCATCTCTTTGTTACCTAGTTGTTATGATCCTAAATTATCTTTTTTATTTTTTCAGGTGACTTTGGCCTTGCGAAACTTCTAGGCAAAGAAGATCTTGCTTCATCTGTAATGCTCATATTCCATTGGGATTTATATACCTTTTCGCTGAAGTTTTTCTGAATCATTTTCTTGTGTTTGTAGATTGTGGGGACACCAAACTACATGTGCCCTGAACTTCTTGCTGATATACCTTATGGCTACAAATCTGATATTTGGTCTTTAGGTTTTAATCACTTTCTTCTTTTAACTTACATTATCCCCAAAACTTTTGTTTTTTTCTCACAAAGATTTTGGATTTACAGGCTGTTGTATGTTTGAAGTAGCTGCACATCAACCAGCTTTCAAGGCTCCTGTAAGAATTTTGTCTCATTTCTTCTTGTAATAAAAATCTGAAATTTCTTTGGAGCTTCTGAAAACTCTGTTTCTTGGAAACAGGACATGGCTGGACTCATCAACAAGATTAACCGCTCTTCGCTTTCTCCTCTCCCGGTTATGTATTCCTCTTCATTGTAAGTATATACATATACATTTAATTTATTACTATAGACAAGATTTTGAGTGTTAATGTTATATGGATTTTTAATAATGTTTTTGCAGAAAAAGACTGATTAAAAGTATGTTGCGCAAGAACCCTGAACATAGACCAACTGTAAGTTGATGACGAGTTCCATTAGTTTCTTGTTTTTGTGGTTTCTTCTAAACTGTAAAAAAATGTTTCTTTATAGGCTGCAGATTTGTTAAGACATCCTCACTTACAGCCATATCTTGCACAATGCCAAAATTTGTCTCTGGTTTTCAAACCGGTTGTGTCCAAATCAGAACACAACACCTACGAAAACAGAACGAGCGAGACCCGTCTCCCTCCAAGAACGGGCACTGCCAAATCCGCGAGAACACCGATTAGACATAATCAGATAGTAACGGAAGATGCAGAGGAAAGAGAGAAGAGAAACAAGGATACAAGTTCTAGTTCGAAAGAGAAAGAGAGACCAGCAAAGAGCCAAGAAATGTCGTTGATTAGCACGTTAACGTTGCTACGCGAGTATCAGAAGAAGAGCCCGAGGAGCGAGGAGAGAGCAGAAGCATTGGAATCTTTGTTGGAGCTTTGTGCAGGTTTGCTTAGGCAAGAAAAGTTCGATGAGCTCGAAGGAGTTTTAAAGCCTTTTGGAGATGAAACAGTTTCATCAAGAGAAACCGCGATTTGGCTTACCAAAAGTCTCATGAATATAAAGAAAAAGCAAAACGATGATGGAACCAATCCTTAAAATCAACACTAACCGTAACTTTCGTGTAACCATTGTGTGTATTAAAGAAATTAATCCAAAAGCAATTAAGTTTGTTTTTTTTTATCAGATTCATAAAAAAAGATTGATCAACGGGATATTATAGAAATATGTTATATATTATCATCATACTCATAAATATTAGTGTAATAACTTACACAATGAGACAATACATCAAAATGGGTTTATTGTAAATATTATTTTTTATACAATCAGAACAAAAAAGGGAGTTTTGTTATATAACTCCTCTTTAATTGATGTCATCGATGTCTCTCTTTACTGCAAGAGAATAGCCAAGAAGGCGGAGAGTGATGCAGCAACGACGGAGCCAACCACCGGAAAAGCTACGGTGGCGGAGGAAGAACCTGGTGCTGGTGCCGGAGACTCCATTGTAGCTGCCGTTGCTGAGCTCACTAACACGGCCGAGATAAAGAGAGCGGCAAAGAAGTTGTTGACGTTCCTCATTCCCATTATTTCTTTTGTATTA